ATTGTTGCCTCTGTGTTTAGTGTCCTGTCCGTCTGTAACTGTGTGTGGTGGTGTTACCACTGAACAGGTCTCTCTTGAGAATGAGACCTTGTGTCTCAATGAGATTCACCTGTATAAATAAAGGTTAAACAAAAAAATGAATGAACAAATTCAGATAATTAACGTTTTGCGGCATATCATCACATTTCAAATCACAATGAACATTGCAAATGTTGCCAATAATCAGTAAGGGGCTGTTGTTAGACAGAAGAGATTGCTACTAGCTTTTGGAAGAGTTAGTACCTGCATAAAGCTCTCTAAAGACTCCTGTGAACAGAAAGCTACTCCCCATCTGTTCATTTATACATGAGATAAGTTCTCCCACATAGCAGCTGTTTTCCTTGCTGTATATCTTGTCTCTTTCGCTCCTTTTTGTTCACACTCTCTTCCCTCATCTGCCTCTCATGTCACAGCTCTTAGCTGATGTTAGCATGCATTACCAAAGCAGCCACATCGAAGCTCTTTTTGTCCAATAAGCTGAATTTAATGGAAATTCTTAAAGGTGTCTAACAACACAATATCCTTTTCACTCATGTAATGTAAGTTTTAGGGAGATTGCAACATATTTTTAAAATTTGTATTGATTTATCTACTTGTGTAATTGTGGGACCTAAATGATCCATTTTGATTTAATTTTGCAGCATTAATATTCATACTTTAAATATTGTAGAAAGAAATAACCATGTTGTTCAACTCATACATTTATGCAAATAGGATATACATTGCATCTCTTAACAGCTTTATGCCTTTAGGTCCTTATATTCTATGAATTAATGTGCAACAGATCAACAATGCAGTCTCCACATTGTTTTGTGTTTGAATGATTATCAGTAAGAGACGTACTTCCAAAATGTCCATAAAACATGTTTTTTCCTAAAGACCAAATGAAAATACATAACCTCAAAATTATTTTTGCTGTTCTCTGAACATCTTGTTTTAGTTCCAGACTCTTTAACTTAGACCCAACACTGTTTAGGAGTCAGTAAAAGACCCCCAGGGTTAGATATATCAACTGGCCATATTGTTTCCATGGCAATAATAAGGTACCTGGGGGAGTTTAAGGATACTGATCAACCTACACTATACAACACCACCATCACACATTTTCCCCTTATACATGGCCTCCACCCAACTATTAGTTTTGTTTGATGTCTCTGGAGGTAATAGGTAGGTGTGTGTCTGAAATGGGGCCCAATCATTTGGGGGATTGTAGCAGCAGACTGGAGGGGACAGTTTGTATTCCCTCAAACAACATGGAATTTACAACCTCCGACACTCCCTCCTTTCTGAGCCTTTAAGCAATTTCACTGTTAAAGCTGCTTGTGTGGCACAAGATGAACTAGTATTTATAACATGAAAGGAGAATACATTTAAATTGGACCCCATGGAGGAAATGAAAAGGGAAAAAAGTGGTGAATTACCTCTTTCATAGATGTCTTATTATGCACCCTTCATAAAACATTTAAATTCGAATTAATCCCTTTCTTCTTTCACACTTTTTCTTTCCTTTTGAGGTTTTTGTATCTGTTACAAAGACCTCCCCCATTTAAAAAAATCTATAAATCAACAAAAAAAATCGTTAACTTTTACAATCCAAGGGTTTATTAGTGACTGTTAAAACATGTTGACTTAGCATATTAACATTTATGACTACAAACATTATATCTCATTAGAAGGTCCAACACCCATCTCACTTTATTCATGATTTACCAACATAAAAAAACTCCTCTTTTGAATTTTAATTGCGTTTACTGATCTGTAAAGCACTGACAAATGATTTATTTACCCAAAGAAAATCCTTATTTAAAAGCTGCGATGTGGTAACAATGTAACATTTTAGACAGGTGTGGTATGTTACCATAATTATACAACATTTCAGCATCATGCACACATGACCCACAGCATCTGAGCCAGTGACAGCCAGCTGTTCAGACAGGGAGCCCGGAGTTCCTCGAAACCCCTGGGAGGGAGTGTCTGGTGATCCCTCCTCACCGCCGAATCTCTCGCTCCCTCCCCTCTCTCCTCCCCCTCCCTCTCTTCGCATCTCTGTTTTGCCTGGACTGAGGGACGCATGCGGCTGGATCAGTGTCCCCGCGTCTCCCGGAGCGGAGCCAACCATCCCACCCCAGACGGCCGGAGTGTTTCCCTCCGCCCTCTTTGAAGATTCATCAGACGGCTTTCCCCGCGCTTTACCGCCGAGCGTCAGAGAGCAGCGTGCCAGGTATCATGACGCACCACAAAATTGGGCACTTGCTTGGACTTCTCTCCCTTGAGTCTTGAGACATGCGGAGGTGCCCATGCTGTTTAAGTCTTACCGGCATACGATACTTTTGCAGCCATGTCTGTCATCTCTGACTCTGTCCTACGTTTTATGTTGTTGTCAGTGTTTGATGATGTCATTATTTATTTCAGATGGATCCTTGCTCTGTCACTGCAGCGTCGCATCTCTCCAAGTGAGAAGACTCGCTCTGCAAATGCGCTTGAACAAACTTGGACCGCTGCCTCTGTCCGTTGCGAGCAAATCCAATCCAGGCTCATCTCCAGCTCTGCAAACCTCTGTCTCTGCTGACTAACGATGTGGAGGACAGTGGTGTGACACTGCAAGGAGACTTCACAGCCCAGAACTATTACCTAACTATTCCACATAAACTTTTTAAAGCGCTATCTTTGAGGTGGAAAAAAACTGGAGACCGCACACCTCTTCGAGCGTTTTATCTTTTCACCTGGAATAAACTGACTGTCCAAAATCCAAAATAGATCCGACTCCAAGGGATGCGTAAACGAGCATGATGCTCTGCTTTCTGCCGCTGTTAACACACATAGGGAACGAGGTCGGATTATAAACTATGTGGAGTCATTTCTGAGGATTATTGATTCGCTGCTCACCCCGGGTGTATGGAGAAGAGCAGCCCGAGGATGACGGGCGGAACCCGGGAGGCACCTGTGAACTCCTCTCCAGCGGTGGCGTCCAACGCGGAGGGCGAGGAGATCGAGGTTTTGGAAAGCACTGACGTCCTCCCCGTGGCTCAAGAGGACGTAAGTCTAACACACAGTCACCCTAAGTGCACACATGACCACTGATACAGATTCACATTTTCACTATTTCAATTACGCAGCAGGACCTCCACTTTCCAGCTATACAATCCATTCCAAGCTAAATCAAAAGATATGCCTAAAACACATTTTAGATGTTTTTTTATCCAACATATGGGTTTTAAGGAAATTAATTTTACAGAAAAATTTGAGTAGCTTACTTTCTATAAATATGATATACTTTGCTCTCACACACATTACTTTTGCTCTATAGTTGTTTCAAACATTCAAATAGCTTACTGTATAAGAAACCCCTTAGACATTATCAACACTTTGGTATCTTATTATCTTTTGTTGTAACTCATTGAACACACTGATCGGATGATAGCAGTCTGTGATTTTAACATTGCAATTGAGGGAAATAGAGGGAAGAACTTTTGGCAAATTATTGCATTAATAACATTATAAACATTATTTCAACACAGGTGCTCCTCTTCACTTGGGCACCTGTGTCTGAGATGTTTGTCCTATCTCTTTACTTCTTCACTTTTCTCTTTCTTTCTATGTCTAAGCAATGGAAGTCTCTGTTTGACAAGGTATGTAATGCAAGCAACAGCGGCTTGAATCTTTCACAATATGCATGTTTCACTCAGCTGTGTTGTCTCAACTATGTTTGATCTGTGGGTGACCCCTAACTTGACTCTGTTATTAGCTTGCCAACACAGATGTATTGACCAGATAAAGCACTCCATTGTCCTGCTTAAAGGTCATGAAACGTGGGGAGATTTTAGATGAACAGAATGCTATATTTCACCATAGGCATCAAACAGGAAACAGGATAAAGTAACTTTTTTAATGTCATAACAGTCCTAGTTCAATAGGTCAATACGTCTATAAATGACTTTTGATGCTGTGCTTTTTACAGATTCTGTCCATGTATCATGGCCTTAACACCATCATTATGCTGTCACACTGGCTTTATAACTAATGTAAGTGACTTAAACCTGCACTAGGACATGGTGCACCTTGGCACCAAGAGATAGCTGTCAGAAAGGACATGACTCATGATGCCAAACTTCACAAATATTGCTCATGTATGCCATGCCTGCTGAGTTGTGCATCTCATGCTGCTGAATACAGAAATGATTGTACCACTCACTCAATGCTGTTTTCATATGCTGGTTAGGGCTGATTCGTTCTCCCTTTCTGTGGGTAAACATACCCGGCACCAGAATGTAATTTGGCTAAATGATGTGAACCTATCAGGTCTCAGCTGGTGGAGATGGCTCAGTGTTCTCTCTGCTGATTTAGGCTGATTAGACAAATGTATTTTTAGTTCAGAATCTTGCCTAGTGCAGCTTTAAATCCTTTACCTGCTGGGTAAAAATAATTATGGCATAAAATGTAACCAAGCTGCAGCTTTGTCGGACCAACCTCCTGCTGACGGGAGAGCATCAGAGGAGTGAGAGCACATTGGAGGCTGTGGGTGTGTTGTCCGCTGACACTGACCCTGATAATGCAATTGGGGCGATACATAATCCGTGATGCATTGATCCATCAGTAAGAACGATCTTGTAAGAAACAAACATGAGCATGCATACACGCACGCACGCACGCACGCACGCACGCACGCACGCACGCACGCACGCACGCACACACACACACACACACACACACACACACACACACTCACACACATATTAATAAAGCCAAGAAACCCCAGGAGAAGAGAAACAGATCGGCTGATCATGCATGAAGCATGTTTGACTGCCAGACGGCAAACGGGCTCCCTGCTATCACACACACACACACACACACACACACACACACACACACACACACACACACACACACACACACACACACACACACANTTCTCCTTTGCCGAGATAATCCATCCCACCTCACAGGTGTGGCATATCAAGGCCAGCCTAAGGCACACCTGTGCAATAATCATGCTGTCTAATCAGCATCTTGATATGCCACACCTGTGAGGTGGGATGGATTATCTCGGCAAAGGAGAAGTGCTCACTATCACAGATTTGTTCAGATTTGTGAACAATATTTGAGAGAAATGGTTATTTTGTGTATATAGAAAATGTTTTAGATCTTTCAGTTCATCTCATGAAAAATAGGAGCAAAAACAAAAGTGTTGCGTTTATATTTTTGTTCAGTGTATGTATTAAAATTGCAACTGTAATCAAAAACATATTTAGATGTTGTTACCTTTAGAGAGTGAGAGTCAGCTAAGTTTATGGACGGTTATATTTTTTTATTTAGCCTTTATTTATACAGGTGAATCTCATTGAGACACAAGGTCTCATTCTCAAGAGAGACCTGTTCAGTGGGAACACCACCACACAAAGTTACAGACAGGACAAGAAACACAGAGGCAAAACTCAAATAAAACATCGGTTATACATGTATTTACATCCAATTTGGTTGCACATTTTTAAACACATTTTAAATCCCACAGAACAGCACAGACAGTTACACCTTATGTCGGGAAGTGTTGATGTAAATCACATTCGGTGTTTTATATAGATATGTTGCATATAATTTCTTCCGGAAAAGTCAAGAAATGTGTGACATGCTGCTATTCACATTAATATGATCTTATTAATCCATAAACCTGTTACTGTTAATGAGATTTGATTTAGTAAGATTAAGTTGAAATTGTATCAGTGGGCAAGACATTTAAAAATTGGAATGTAGTCTGTGCATCTCAACATACAGAATGTCCTTAACATGATAACTTCACAGTGCTATCTGCGGGGGGGGGGGCCCTCACAGCAGTAGTAGGATAAAGTACACATCAGAAAATGTAGGTCAGAGGTATATGTCAACATGGCGCCTGGCAGCTCCATGCGTAAATAACAAATGTCTTGACTTGCTTTAGTAAACATGTTTAAGTTATGGTTACAACGTAAGTGAAGTGGAATGTTAAGACCATTAATCGTGCACTGCATTTTGTTATAATTCCCAGTGTAAACACACTCAAAATAGCAATTGCAACCGCAGAAGTCCAAAAATTGAGACAAAGGACATATTGCCTATTAGTATTATATAGCTAACTCGCTAGCTTGTGCTATTGTAAATACTACATCAGAGTTATTTTAATGCCTACTCTTTTAACTCTAGGTCACATATGTCAAACTCAAGGCCCAGGGACCAAATCAGGCCCTTGGTGGATTTCATTTCGGCCCGCAGGATAATTCCTAATTACTATTAGATCTGGCCCGCCGGTATATTGCACGCACACCTTCACTCAATCCTGAGGGTTTCTTCAGCTCAGAGCCTGAGTGTGTTCGGAAACGTCCGTGGTAAATGGTGGTCGTTTTGGCATGTATATTGTGTGATGTCCTTTCTGATTGGGGGTTGTACCTATAGTCCTACTCCAACATGGGAACTTCGTTAGGCGCATAGCCACTAGTCAAACTAAAGGTATACATCATTTGTCGTAGTAAAGTAGCCGAACCTCCCAAAGACAAGAACATTGGACCTGAGGGGAGAGAGGTCCATCACTGTCGACTTGAAGTCCTTGGGACCGACTCCTGCGTCCCTCAGTTGGACGTTCCTGGACAGGTACTAGGGAGTGTCTTTGGTGTGTTTTCTGTGACACTCAGATGTATTTTGTCGGAGTGATGATTTATTACGTGAGTGCTTCTTAAGTATTGTTCGTAACCTAATAATATATCTTTACTGAGAAGTGCTTTTTTGATCAAGTAGAACATTAATGTTCATAACAGTTTCTTTTGTGTTTTATGTACATTAAGACTTTCACAAAAAACGTTAGGAATGAGTATTTGTAAAAAATATATGAGTGAACAACTTGCGAACATCACTCCGTGGTTTTTATATTCTGAAGGTCCAATATTGACCACAACTTGAAATGACTACCACCCACCAAACTTAAACTTCCTATGGTGAGCTCACCAACTCGCGCCAATTGTTAGATTGAGCACTAGGATAAGACAGCACTCAGATTGAGGGAGCACGAAGGCGCCTTAGCGGTACAAGCAAGACGACGAGCGCGTTACACGAAGTGTGTAACTGAAGCTGTAACTCTACGTCTGAAGACGTTGATCTCGTCCAGCGCCTAGGAGTGAAGTGTTATGACTGTCACCCTCGGCTTCGTTTCTCCTCACGTCAGGTCAGCCATCAATTATAGCCTCTCCTGCCTCTGATGGCGAGGAGTACCGACAATGACACGTTTTCAAATAACCTTTACTTTTACACTACATAACGTGTATAGATTGCGAGCCTTGATTAGGTTATAGAATTATTAGTATAAATAGCATTCTATATGTTTTGTTTGACTATGTTGTAATTTGTAATTTATTAGTCAACGTAAGGACAATGAAATACCGCGACACGATAAGACCGATCGAGAGAATATTCGTAGTCAGTAAAGCCAAATTACTGTATATGTAAAAAGAGTATCGCAGGTGCTGTTGTCGCAAGTTCTTTTGATAATAGGAGTACGATTATACATCTCTGGCGTTTCGCTACGGGCGAACGAACAAAGGGCCCCTCTCATCTTTTTCCCGTCTTCCTTCACATTGTAGGCATACATTGAGTCACACGCGAGCCACTACGATCGAGTTCGGTCTATAGACCGTAGATTAGATATATGGGTTTCGATTTTGTTAGACCCACGTTCAAGTAG